TTTTTTTTATTATTTTATTTTTAAAACAATTATTATTATTATTATTATTATTATTATTATTATTATTAAATATATGTATACCCTTAGGTCATTTTACATGTTAATCTAAACAGCTAATTTTTTCAAATATCTTTTTATCAATCGTTGATATAATTCGTTGGTCAAATTCGCTAATATAATCCGTTAATTAACGATAACCGCTAACTGCTGATTGTCAAACAAGGACATTGCGATGTAGTTCTTACTTCAATTTGTTGTGTGATTTGAATACCCTCTTTGTCAACAAATCCCTCAAGTAGTTAATATGATTGGCTTTATTAATTATATTTTTAAAATTTTTTCATGGTATTAATAAAATACTTGGTAAATAAATATATAGTATTATTTTGTATTATAACTTTGATATTTAATTAAAAAATAGTGCACAAAAAAGATAATAGACTATATAATATAGTGAATATAATCAATTGATGAATTTAAATGTAAAGAATTTTTACATTGGAGAAATATAAAGACAATATAACTAATAAAATTATTTTTCTTAATTAATTTATTGATAATGAATATATATATATTTTTTAATAAAGACATTGTACGGACAATGTAGCGAATATAATCAATTGATGAATTTGAATGTAAAGAATTTTTATATTAGAGAAAAATAAATACAATATAACTAATGAACTCGAAAAATAAATACAATATAACTAATGAACTTATTCCTCTTATTTAATTTACTGATAATGAATAAAGACATTGTAGACACATAATTCTAAATTAAAGATATGCATATGTATTATTTTTTGTTGTAACTACTAAATTATTATTCTTGAATGCTATTGGCTGTATTACAATGTAGTATTTGTTCATATACTTTCTCAAAGCCTAATGAAACACAAAGAACCAATAACACCTCCACTGAAGCTTGAACTCACAACCTTCTAAATAGAAGTCCAACCTGGGTACCATTAGACCACATAATCTTGGTTATTAAATTATTATTTAATTTAATAAGTGTAAAATAGAGTACTAATTATGCCAACTTTGATTGGGATGTGGTTCGAACCTAAAACCTTTCTTATTGAAATCAATGAGTAAGTTAACGGTGGACTAACAGAAATTAATAGAAAAGATAATATTTAACGGAAAAGTTAACGGATAATCATATTCATTAAGGAGAAATTAAGAAATTTTAAGTAAAAATTAAAATCTGATCAATCTGAGCCATTCATTTGATTAAAAAATTTACCGATAGATTATTTTACCACTTCCTGATGGACACTATTTGACTGTATATTTATTTATTTGATTATTTGATTATTAGGTAGATTATTTTTTAACTCATGAAGGGGTCACTCAATTCATGAACATCCAATGAAAATAAAAGGTAAATTTAAGAGAAAAAATAGCATGCACTGAATTGATTGGCCGAGTGATTGGAGAATAGAAAGATTACGAGTTCATAGAGTGGTTTATAGTTTCTTTTTGGTACATTAGGACATTAGGTTTCCCAGCTTACACTCTAGATTAATCGTAAGATTCCAGAACACATGTGCAAGAATTGTTGAAGGAAGTAAATCACGATGAATTACCCAAATAGCCTCTCAATTAATCTTTGTTGTTGACTATACGCATAAGGGATCCATCTCCGATCCATACTTCTACCAATTTGAGGAAGTCAATTTTCAATCTAAGAAACTCAAGAGTCTAAGTGTGATTTACTTTTTTCACCCTTTCAGTAATCGAAGTGAATTTTCCTCTTCACCCAAAAAGAGAAAAATAACATTAATTTTGTCTAATTTGACAATTAACTACAAAAATCACAAAGATACCTCGTCTTAATAATCAAGCCTGAGATTGTTGTGCAATGAATGTGGTGTTTTCTAGGAATCTTACTATCTCTCTCTTTGGTTTAACAACTAATTTAATGATATATTAAATTAATAAATATTTTTAGTTTCGAGATATGTTCAATCATTTTCCTTTTAGATACATAATCCTTGGTCTATCTATATGTTGGTGTGTTGTGTTATAATCATATGTCGGTTACGTTAGTGATTGAGCATAGGTTGGTGTCACACTATCACGTGCTTCTAGGGCCATTGAAATCAGATACCGCACCAACATGATGAAAAGTATATTCTAATTTCACCGGGGGCCCTCATGTTTTATATGATTTTTTTTTTGAGTTAATACCATCTGAGGTCCTCCGAGTATAATAATTTTGCCACATTTAATTCTAAACTTTCAAATTGACCATATGTGGTCCTTCGACTTTCAAATTTAACCATTCATGGTCCAAGTTAAGCACCCATGGTCCTTCAACTATTAAATTTTAACTAACCATGGTCCTTTCAAGAGGATCACAACTGGTTAAATTTTGAAACTTGAAGGATCATGAGTGGTTAACTTGGACCACGAATGGTTAAATTTGAAAGTCGAAGGATCACAAATGATCAATTTGAAAGTTTGGGACTAAACGTGGCAAAATCACTATACTCAAAAGACCTCAAACGGTATTAACTCTTTGTTTTTAGTCGTACTTTTACGGGATAGTGATGGTATGATTTGAATAATTTTTTTTTTCGATTTATTTTCATGATCATACTACTGTAAAGTTATTTCTGCAATTGATTTCCAAGTATTATTTTCACCACAATTGATACTTAAATTTTTATTTTTTGTCACATTTAGAGTTTATAACTAGATTTTTGATTGAAAATGATCAATACAATCCATTTTATTTTCAACTCAAATCATATCAATTTAACATCTCAATACTTTTGGGTAATGGGTATAAATATATGATTTTTCACTCAAAATGTGAATCATATTAAACTAAATATGTTATAAATTTTGATTGTTTTTCTATAAAAAAAAATATTGAAAAATTAAATGTGATAAAAATTAAAGTCTTATACCAAATATGGCAAAAATAGAACTTGAGGACCAAACCACATAGATGTGGCTTAATAGTCGTGGAGCCAAAAGTGAAAATAATTCTTTTATATACAGACCCACACACATGATCTAATTAAGTTTGGTCCTTAAGTACTATTTTTTGCCATATTTGGTACACGACTTTTATTTTTTGTCACATTTAATTTTTTCAACCAAATTTTTGACATGACATTATATAAAAGATTTAACAAAGATAAATTTTGCATTTTCATTAGGTAATTGTGAATTAATCAACCACATCATAAGTTAAAAAAGAGCATGAAAGTTCTGAAAGGGGTGTCCTAGTGGGTGGCCTGGAGAGTTAATATCAAATTTGGTCCCTCGACTATTAAGAATTCACCATTTTGATCCTCGATTACTAAAATTGCTCAATTTAGTCCCTAACTATACAATTTTTACCTGAAATGGTCCTAGGTACAAACTGTCGTTTGTTAGACGTTAAAACGACTAGGGACAAAAATATAATTTCACTTTATTTTCCTTCTCAGGTGTAGCTGGTTTAATCTCAACTCTTTGGCTAAGTTTGCAGAGCGAAAAGAAAAGCCCTCCAAAATTAAAACATTCCAAAATCTAACCCTAATCGCAAAATTCATAAACTAAAAACTTGAGAAATCATTCGTATTTCAACCAAGAATCATAACCCTATAACAGGCAGAGTCCAAGCAGGCCAAGTGCAGCCCCCAAAGCCAGGGGACCCAAAACGGCTTTTCCATCGCCCAGTACTGTTTAATTGGCTCGACCTGAAAATAGAGATTTCCAGAAGCATGAGAGAGGGGGAAGGCGACATCGATGCCGAGTGATCTAAGGCCGAGTTTGGCTTTATGTCGCCTTGTTCTTGTGCCGTTCATCTTTGGTGTCTCTTGGGCGGACGTCGGTTGTTTTCTTTCTTATGCGGTTGTTGTTTTGTGTTCTAGCTGTTGGGTAGCCATGGAGATGATAATAGGCTTGTGGTACAATGGACGTGAAGGCGAATGAAATGGAGGAGTTGAGAGGAGCAAGCAAATTGAAACGAAAGAGCGCTATGGAGGATTTTCTAGAGTGGATGTTTCTTTATAAAGAGAAGCAACTAATTCATTTCAGAAAGTTAGGGAAAAAGGAGATGATTATTTGTATTCTCTATTTTACCCTTCAAGTTTGACAGAAAAATAGATTGAGGATCATTTCGAGTAAAATTGCATAGTTAAGGATTAAATTGAGCAACTTTGATAGTCGATGATCAAAGTGGTGAAATCTTAATAGTCGAAGGACCAAATTGGGTATTAACTCAGTGGGTGGAATACTGAAATATGATTTTAATACTTGAAGATCACAAGTTTGGTTCTTGCAAATACCTTCTAAGTAGAGTTCATCACACTTGATGTGTTAGATTTATCTCGTAAATATTACTATATTAGATAATGATTTTTGTAAGAGATTGTGGCATTACTCAATGAAAATGAATAAACACTTCAAAGTTTATAAATAATTCTACATCATTGAATGAAGATTAATTATGTAGTGATTTTAGTTGGAGAAAGTAGTTTATTTTTTTTTTTTTAAGTGATCTCAATTTTACCGAACTAATTTTGAACGCCTAGGACCCCGCCCCTAGAGCCACCGCAGAGGTAATCGCGAGTCCTATTCTTCAAGGGATCCAATTCAGATCGCGCAATCAGTCCACCAGTCAGATCTTAGTCTTCATTTGCGCACAAGGATTCCAATCCAAACCTTCTATCATCCTTAGGCTTTGGGCAGGATTCGAACTCACACACTACTACCTCCAGTCATATCTTTAAGTCAGACGACAAACCAATTATTATACTAAGCCCTGAGGGCAACATTATTTAACTTCTCAAGTCACATATTCATACAAAACAATTAGAACCGTATAAGCTACTTTTAATATAATATAGTTTCTAATATACTAATTTTATGCATTAAGAGTAATATCACACACCTTCCTAGGTTTCTCTAGGGTTTTCACGTCGATATCTCAACCTTTACGTACAGAGCAATTCTCCGGTCAATCATATCGGATTTCGTTCCTCGTTCATGCGAAGATGGCAGCGAGTCAGAACGCAGGTGGTGTTGCAGGCTTGACGGCGAGATGGGCTGACCTAGTTTTGGAGGAGGAGGAGGCGGCTTTTATGCCGACGGGCGACGCGGAGGACGGCAGTGGTGGTTCCGACGCCGTGGAGGAGGTCTGGACGGTGGTTGGGCGGTTCCTAACACGGAAGCTGGGTAAACTGGAATTTATGAGCCAGGTCATGGCGTCTGTATGGCAACCGGTCAGTGGGGTTGAAGCTAAGGAGGTGGAGCCTGGCCGATTCCTGTTTATCTTCCATCATGTGGCGGATATGTAGCGTGTTCTGAATGATGGGCCATGGTCCTTTGATAATAGCACTTTGGTATGCAAGCAGGTTCCGGATGGGATATCACCGTGTGATGTTGAACTTGATTCGGTAGATTTATGGATACAGCTGCATGGGTTGCCAAAGGGGTATGCATCTACCGTAATATTAGAACAGGTCGGGAATTTCTTGGGAAAATTTGTCAAGATTGACGATCGTTTTGATAATGCACCGTGGAAGATTTTTCACCGAATTAAGGTTTCGTTGTCTGTTGATAAACCCTTGAGAAGGCGTATGAATTTTATTAAGCAGGATAAGACGAGCTGCTGGGTGAATTTTAAGTATGAACGCCTGCACACATATTGCTATTTTTGTGGCCTTTTGGGTCATTCTTAGAAATTCTGTCGTGGGGCGAGGGATTCGGCACTACCGGTTGAGGAATATTTGTATGGCCCGGAGCTAAAGGCGGGGGGATCTCGTGGTCCTCGACCGGTCGGAGGGAGCTGGTTATTGCCGACCGGTCGGCAGATGGTGGCTAGGCAAATGGCGGAAGTGTGTACGGGTGGTAATCGGTCGCCGGGGGAGGGGAGTCGGACCGGTAACGCCAGGGAGGCGGAGCTGGTGGCGGTGTCCAAACGGCGCCGAGAGATGGAGGACGACGGTAGGCGGGAGGTTGTGGGGGAGGATGTTGTCATGGCAGAGCGGTCAAAAAACTTGCAGCAGGCGGGTTCTGGTTCCCAGACCCACCCGACCCAATGAGTACCCTTAGTTGGAACTGCCGTGGCTTGGGTAATCCACGGACAGTTCGTCAAGTTCTGGACTTTGCGTCCCGTAAGAAACCCGACTTTATTTTTTTGATGAAAACTATGGTCGATCGGATACACACTGAACGTATTCGTGTCCAATTAGGGTTTGATGGTCTTTTTTGTGTGGATAGTAATGGTGTGAAGGGTGGTATAGCTTTGTTGTGGCAGAGGAATAATACAGCTAGTCTACTCAGCTATTCAGATAACCATGTGGATATTGAGGTCAGTATGCATGGATTCCCAAAATGGCGAATGGCTGGTTTTTATGGATTGGCACAGCGAACCAGACGTGGTGAATCATGGGGAATGTTACGGTCTTTGGCTACCAAGTCTAATCTGCCTTGGGTGGTAGTTGGGGATTTTAATGATCTTCTTTTTTAGCACGAGAAACGAGGGGGAAATCCACACCCAGATAGCCTCTTACGCGGTTTTGGGGTAGCTATTGAGAAGTATGGCCTATCCCAGATGGCCATGCAGGGGTATCCGCTTACATGGGAAAGGGGAAAAGGAACAGCTGACTGGATAGAGGAACGATTGGATAAAGTATTGGTCTCGGATGAGTGGCGCGAGATTGTTGCAGGAGCGAGAGTATCTAATTTATTAACTCGCAGGTCTGATCATTCAGCTATCTTTCTAAGCACCCATGACTCCGTAGGGAGGGGTGGGGCTAGTAAGAGGGGCTTCCGTTTTGAGAATGCATGGTTGTATGATGAGGGATGCCGGGGTGTTGTGGAAAAAGCATGCGAAGAAGGAAAGGACCGTGGGCTGCAGAATTGCATAGAGTTCCGTGGATCTCTGCTATCTCGGTGGGGTGGAGACAGGTTTCATAAGTTCAGGGAACAAATTATGAATTTACGAAAGGAGCAGCTGCGCCTGAGAGGAAAAACGGACCCCGTCTCGTTAACTGAGTTCCGGCGTTTGGAGGAACGTTTATGCCGTACTAAGACACAGGAGGATGCCTTCTGGAGACAACGAGCCAAGCAACACTGGCTCAAGGGTGCCGATGCCAATACCAAATTCTTTCACAGGTATGCCTCTCATCGTAGAAAGAAAAATAATGTTGATAAGCTTATGAATGATAATGGGGATTGGGTGGAAGGGAAGCCTATGAGGGGGATTATTTTGCAGTACTTTCAAAATATTTTTGCCTCGGGAAACTCGGAGAATGGGGAAAATTTCTTTAACAACATTACACCGCGTGTCACTCCAGCACAGAATGAATCTCTAATTCGGCATTTCACTATGGATGAGGTAAAAGTTGCTCTTTTTTCTATGTATCCTGATAAGGCACCAGGCCCGGATGGAATGAATCCGGGTTTCTATCAACATTTTTGGGATGTCGTAGGGGGGGATGTTTCATCTTTTATAGTCAATTGTTTGGAAAATTGCTGCTTCCCGGATACTCTAAATGAAACAGATGTGGTGTTGATCCCGAAGAAACAAACCCCGAAAAGAGTATCTGATCTCAGGCCAATTGCGTTAAGCAATGTGATATATAGTGTAATGGCCAAGGTTATGACTAATAGGATGAAACCCTTGATGGATGAGATTATATCGGATTCCCAGAGTGCGTTTATACCCGATAGGCTTATAACTGATAATATATTGATAGCATCGGAGGTTGGGCATTATTTGCACAGAAAACAATGTGGTACTGTTGGCTGGGCTGCCTTAAAATTGGATATGGCAAAGTCATATGACCGTATGGAGTGGTCTTTCTTACATGGGATGCTAGTAGCCATGGGATTTGATAAAAAAATGGGTGGATTTAATTATGTTATGTGTGTCTACTGTATTGTACAGATTTTTGATAAATGGCTCTCGTACTGATTCAGTTACGCCTACTCGTGGTATAAGACAGGGAGACCCATTTTCTCCATATCTGTTTATTATCTGTGCAGAGGGGCTCTCTGTGCTATTGTAGCAGGCACAATCAAATAATAAAATACATGGATTCAGAGTGGCTCGGGGAGCTCCCCCAATATCCCACTTATTTTTCGCGGATGACAGCTTGTTGTTTTTTAAGGCCAATTTGCAGGAAGCGGGGGTGATAAAAGAATGCCTAACTGCATATGAGAATTTATCGGGACAAGCAGTAAACTATCATAAATCTAGTATTTGCTATAGCAAAAGTACTACTGAGGAGAATAGGGACATGGTGGCGCAGGCGCTAGGGGTGGTGCAGGCCCCGAATTTTGGTAAGTACCTTGGACTCCCGTCTTTTATTGGTAGAAATCGAAAGGCAGCCTTCTCTTATATTGAGGAGAAGATCAAACAGAGAGTTGGATCATGGAATAAGAAACTTCTCTCCCAGGCTGGTAAGGAAATATTGTTGAAAAGTGTGGCTCAATCTATGCCCACCTTCTCAAATGAGTGTTTTTTTACTCCCTATGAATGTTGTTTCTTCAATTGAGAGAACCATGAATAGGTATTGGTGGAACTTAGGCACTAATCAGGGGATACATTGGAAGGCATGGGATAGATTATGTATCGCTAAAAAATATGGGGGTTTGGGTTTTAAAGAACTCAGAGCATTTAATTTAGCAATGTTGGGGAAGCAGGCATGTCGATTACTAACAAAGCCAGAATCCCTAGTGGCACGTGTCTATAAGGCCAGATATTATCCGAAAGATACTTTCTCAGAGGCATATCTTGGGAATAATCCAAGTTTTTGTTGGCGAAGTATTATGGCAGCAAAGAGCATGGTTTGTAGTGGTGTGTGGCGGAGGATAGGGAATGGGCAGGATACAAGAATATGGGATCACCCCTGGCTGCAGGATGAGCAGGAACCAATGATCCAAACAGAAATGCCACCACAACTGGCTAATGCACGAGTGGCTGGTTTAATTGATCAGGATACTGGGACATGGGATGCTTCGATTTTATCTGATATTTTTGTGCCAGAGGATCTATCCAGAATAATGAAAATTCCTGTATCACCAGAATATGAAGACACATGGTATTGGCATGATGATCCAAGAGGAATATATTCTGTGAAGAGTGGATATAGATGTATTGTTGGATGATAATACGAGTCCCTCCTTTAATAAATGGCAGGTGCTATGGAAACTCAAAATCCCCCCAAAATGGAAAACCTTTCTATGGAGAGCCTTGAGTGATATTTTCCCCACTACTATGAACCTACTTAACAAGAGAGTTGATATTGAGCCTAATTGTGCTATGTGTGGAATGATACATGAAGATACCATGCATGCGTTAGTCACGTGTGACTATGCCAAGGCAGTATGGGGGCAAGCCAACCCCCCAATCCCTGTTGTTCAGACAAATATTTTTAATGACTGGTTTAATACGATCTTGGATAATTTAGACACTGATGGTCTGGTGTATGCAGCTGCAATCTTATATCATATTTGGAGAGCAAGGAACAATGCAGTTTGGGATGCCTGCATGCCAATGCCGAAAAGAACTCTGATGACGGCTACCACCACGATGCAAGCCTGGCGCGCCGTGCACCATGTAACCGAACACCATGCCGCATCAACACACGCCAATACCGCCACGACCTCCTCTGCCGAATCCCATGTAACGCCTCCGTCGGGGCAGCTCATTCGCAGGTGCTATGTGGATGCGAGTTATCACCACGCCACAAATACGGCCTCGGTAGGTGCAGTTCTTTTGGATGGAAATGGACGATATATCTCCGCCTATGCTTCTTCACTTCCAAGTTGTTTCTCTTCTCTTATGGCGGAAGCATTTGCATGCAAGGAAGCTTTGTCTTGGCTTAAAAATCGTGGTGCGGAAAATTTGGAACTACACACGGACTGTTTTAACGGTCAAGCAATATCTAACTACTACAGTTCGTACCGATTGATCATATGTTGGCTACGCAATAGATGGTTGCAGGAATTTAATTACTTCTTTACATTCTTGTTTAGTTATTTTTGTCCCTAGATCAGAGAATTATATAGCACATGCTTTAGCTACTTCAGTTATTAGTTAGACTACAACTATGTACTGGGATGCACTCCCACCAGCTTCAATTTCGCATTACTTTGAATAAAATTCCACCCTGGCTCCTTTCAAAAAAAAAAAAAAAAAACACACCTTCCTAAATTTCTCCTTTTAATATTTGCTTTGTAGTGTGGCACTATTTGATCGGTTCTTTTTATATTTAATTATTAAATAAGTTTTTTTAAACTCCTGAGATCAATTAATTTTTGAGCACCCAATAAAAATGAATACTTTTATTCTCCATCAAGAAATAAATTTAGAGAAAAAAATAACATTATTCATAAATTAAATGTACAATTTTACAAACATTATACTATAAATAATTTAAATCAAATCTTATTTACTAATAAATCGAATCTTAACTATAATAAAGATATATGGTTGGGAAGTAATTAATGTTACAATTAATTACTAACATTATTATTATTACTAGCTATAAATATAAAATAGCCACAACATTATTTACTATAAAAAAAGCACAACATTTAAAAAATAAAAATAGTTATTTCTCACAATTAATTACCAACATTATTATTATTACTAGCTATAAATATAAAATAGCCACAACATGCTTTACTATAAACAAAAAAAAAAAGGCACAAAATAAATATTTTTTCGGGCCGTGGGTCAATTATTGGACTTCAGAATATAAAAAAAATCATTTGAGCCATAAATAAAAATTTAAATATATATAAATGTATATATCATATGGGTCTTTAATGTAAACTTAGGACTTTTAAAAGAAAAAAAAAATACATTTGAATTATCTCCACAAAAAGTGGTCTTGGACTTATAGAATGACATTTGGGTTTATGGAATGACATGTGTATAAAGAATATATATTATATAATCATATAAAAAAAATGTGTTCAATTAGAGTTTAAATTTACTCATACAAAATTTGAAATTTGTTTTCTAAATGTAATTATTTTAGTTATTATTCGTATTGTTAAAATTATAATATAGATGAAATACAAATAAGATTAAATCAATGTAATTATGTAAATTCTCTGAAAAGTTTATTTGAATATGTACATAATTAGAGATTCTATTAACCATATAAAATTTTAATTTTAATTGTAATTTTTTATTTTATAAAAATAATAAATACTTGACCAATGGAAGTTCAAAAATATTATTATATTAAACCATTTAAAATATTTTATTTTTTCTATTTTTTATTTATTTATAATAACATAATTTTTTCCCCGTGCATCACGCGGGTGAATTACTAGTACAAATTAAATACATATGTCATTACCTTTGCCACAAAATTGCTGTGTTTTATTAGCACATATTTTTCTAGTTATAAACTATTATACTACGCATTTATTCTTCCAAAAGCCTGAACCCTGACCATAAGGGCCTCCCATATCCCGATCCGACAGAGCATTTGGGAGGATGTAAATCATTAGTAATTCAACTGAACATGAATCTTTTGCTCACTGTGCACAAGGAACCCCCGATCCCTGATTATTCTTCTAAATTTTCACCTCTATAACCAATTGAGCTGGCCATGCGGGTATCATAGTACGCATTTATACATTTATCATTCACAATCTGTCACGCTTTGATGATGTGATGACAATTGCATTTTTAAGAAGTTATGGAATGTTTGTGAATATAATTGTGATGTATCTTCTTCTTTTTTTTTTTTTTTTTTTTTTTTTTTTTTTGACAATGAAAATCTGTAATTATTACTTAAAAGTGTGTATTGAGTAAACTTTACTCTTGTAATCTTATATAATAGTTTACAAATTATACAATAATGTGATATTGCCCACACAGGCTTAGCTTACTAGTTCAGTAGGCAGTATTTGGGAGAAGAGACCGATGTTTGAATCTCGACAGTGGCAGTGTGAGATTATGACCAAAGTGAGCAGATCCCTTGTGCGCACTAACATTTGACCCTATCTACTGAGTCACTAAGTACAATAACAGTGTGAGATTATGACCAAAATGAGCAGATCCCTTGTGTGAACTAACATTTGGTCCTACCTATTGAGTCACTAAGTCATACCATTGCGTCACTGTGATTTATATCTTTCAAAATGTTTTGTTAAATTTTTAGAATCGAGATTGTGATTTATATCTTTTCAAATGCTCTTGGGAGTGAGGATTCAATCCTCTGGGCCGGAAATGAAGAAGATTATAATGTGATATTTTATCAAATCAAAAAGTGTTTACTTACCTGTTTAGCGTTTTCTATTCACAAATTACAATACCGTTTCCCATTCAATTCCCCACTTTTGCGGCACATTTCACGTGTAATATCAGGTTAAATTTCTTTATTTTGGACATCATTTATAACGTAACCCAACGCATTAATGGATTAAACTTTTTAATTAAAAAAAGTAAAAGAAAATAAAAAAGAGAAAAGGTTAATTATAGTTAGGCTAATGATAGTACGTACTCCAAGTTTAATCATGGAACGATTTATTAATTAATTAGAAAAAGATACTAAAATCTTGTAAGTAATAATGTTGTATTAAACAAAATATATATATTACAAGTTCAACCACTTACATAATTTATGAAAAGTTACTAATATAATCCACTTACTTTTCATTTTAGAAATATTACATTTGTAAAATTTTCCTTCATCTCCCAAAAGGTTGACTTCTCAACTACAAAGACTCATACACTCCGGTCCGACGAAGCATTTGGTAGGATGTAAATTGCGGTGACTCAAGACTCAGCAGACAGGGCCAAATGTCAATGCACACAAGGGATCTACGTACTTTGAGTATAATCCCTACACTGTCTTCACCGAAGTTCAAACATTGATCTCTTCTCCCAAATACATTTGTAAAATTTTCCTAATTAATAAATTACTATATATATTAGTTGAAATTAAGCAGATAGTAAGCTTATATGTTCTCTATTATTTGAGGCATCGCGTTTAGTTGTTTCAATGGGTTTATTTGTTTGTTATATTAGAAATATTTATTAATTAATATTAAAATTATAATAAAAAATTACATTTTTGTCCCTATAAGAAAATAACAATTTTCATCCTTTAATTATAATATTATAACCTTTTTATCCCCAATTACCCGTAAAGTGACTTTTTAGCCTATTTTATTAAAACTTAAGAACCAAAAAAAAAAAAAAAAAAAATCATTTTACAAAAATTTGAGAAATAAAAAGTGCCCTTAGGGTTGGGAATTCAGCCTTTGGGAACAAGAGAAATAAAAAGTGACTGCGGATATAATTGAGAAGTAAACAATACTATTTCTCTATAATTTAGAGATAAAAAAATTACCATTATTTCATTAGACTCCTTTGTCTCATTTTATCTATTTTACTCATTATTTATTGGTCAAATCAACTCTTTCGTCTTTGTTTATTTTCTTTAGTATTTTTCATTTATTTTTAAATTTGTTTTTGTTTTTTGTTTTGTTTTGTTTTGTTTTGTTTTTTGTTTTTTGTTTTGTTTTGTTTTTTTTTTTGTTTTTGTGTGTGTGTGTGTTTAACAGTAATTTTAGTGTAATATTTAAATATATAAATTTTGTATATTAATTATAAATTTAATATTATAAAAAATTAAATTAAAAATAATTTCAATCAAACCTTGTTAATCAAATTAAATACATAAAAAGGATCGATGGAGTAATATATTGTTTACGTATCGTTTAAAACAATGGAAAAAAAAAGAGCAAATAGTGAATACAATTTTGCATTACAGTTGTTGTATCTGCGACAAATTATTGATCCAATCTCCTATATGGACCATTCCAGTGTGTTGAGGCAAAAAAGCCTGCAAGGATATTATAGATAAAAAATCTTGAGTACAGTGATAAAATTAATTAAAGATATAAAATTAGAAATAGTTAATTAGGTTTATCTCTGGACTATGGTCTGCATCATAGCTGCCACTAAGCAACTCCCTCAATTAATTAATCACCATGTTATCACATGTATGGGGATGGGTCAACTCCAGCTGTTTTAATTTACAGTTAAGACTTGGTGTAGGACATTAATTATATTATGAGTTTTTAGTGGAGTTAATTCTTGTCTTCTTCACAATTTATTATACAGGAATTAATTAAAT